TATTAGCCCTCAAGGCTAAGTATCTTTAAAGATAACTATTTTAAAATACAAGTTTTCTAATTTATTATGTGTTTTAGCATAGATGGAAGACGTCAGGATTTTATTATGAGGTACAGACCAGGAAAGGTTTCACAGAGCCAATTAAGTGCTCATCTCTGTTGGCCAACTGAGCAAGATTGGCCTATGCTTCTTCATAGAGTCACACGGAAACCTGGCTGTCTTTCACAGCAGAAGAAAAATGTTAAAGCTTCTATGAAAGTCTGCTCCAATGTAAGAGCTCCTTATAAAGAACGTAAATAAACCCAAAAAATACTGAAATATTTGGCTTGCAGAAGCGTTGTTTTTTTTCCTTTGCTAGCTGTGTATTTGTTTGTGCTGCAAAAGGATACAGGTAGGAGGAAAGTAGCGCTTCAAGCTGTAGTTTTTCAGTCATTCATTCCAAATATGGATGAATACAAAACAGCTCCAATTTGTGCTAGGAAGCGGAATACCAAAGTTCAAAACAAGATCAAATTGCTATCTTGCACCAAGTCAAAAATAGGACAAGTTAGAAGGATGGGGACAAGACTGGAAATTGAACTATCACCTGTTGAGTAACCCTTGTAATTTAACACATGCTTTAACTCATGTCTTTTATGAGCTCCAAATTTTGTCAACTACCAGAACCTGTAACAATCATGTCCAAAGTGAGGATACTCTGAAGTACATATGGGCCAGCACTTCACGTTTCCATACTTTGTCAATTTAATTTTTCTGGCATGAAACACTCAAACCAAGGTTTTCAAACATCTCCTTTCACACATAGCTCATCACAATGGAAGCTGCCCTTAACATCAGCAAAAAGCAGAGTAGAAAAACCTTCCTTTTGGTCCAACCATGATTAACAGGTGTTTGTTTGCTGCACACAAGAATTAGGCTTTAAAACCGTCTATTTCATGTCTCAGACAGAAGCGGCTTTTCAAAAATACCAGAGACTCAGTAGATTACCTGGTGCTAAAGTTTAGAGTTGCTTGTGAGCACAGTAATGCACAATGGACTGCATGCATTAACTTCTCATCTCCAGACACATGGTATAAGCATAGATGGTTCATTCCCCAGCAATTTTGGGTATTATCGTAGTTTGCTGAAGCTCAGAAGGCCAGCAGAACAGAGAATGATCTAACTTTCCATTATAACATGTTCCAAGAACTTTCAACTGATGCTAGAAAACACAAAAATCCCTGTACTGGCCATCATCAACATGATAAAATGACTAAAAATAGTGCCTGATATATCATTTTTGTAATTTCTGCCAGTGTAAATTGAAAATTCTAAGTACACTTACACAGCGTCATATCACCTCCAATACCATAAGTCAAAGAGAAGCTAATCTGTAGTGAAGGGTTAATTCAGGTAGTTTCTCTCCTGTTCTTTAAAAATATTCTCAGAACCAAAGTCTTCCCAGTAACCATTAATTTTACAAGATCACTAACTGACCCATTCAAAAAGCCACTGGATTTACAAGCTGCAGGGTGACTACTGACATGCCAACAAAGATCTCCTCGCCCTGCCCCCAAATCCTTCACAATTATTTGCCAAAGGAAATCTGGACTCCCATGTCAAGCTCCAATGGGAAATTTTCTCTCTCTCCACTTTACCACATGACTCCATTTACTCCACTTATCCTGCTTGGCATATTCCTTCTCCACCTTCTCATTTACACCACCAACACCTCAGGGAAGGCATTTTTCAAAGCTACATTCTAACTGGAAAGCAATGCCTCCTAGAAACACGGACTTACTTATCCACTTAGATCCACTTCAGTATCTCCATTCTTTCTTCACCCAGAGGCTGAATAAAAGAATTATACCAGATCATATTTACTCAACCATAAGGCCATTGCATTTGTCTTCGCAGAAAATGAAAGACTTCAAACAGTAGGCCACAAACACAGCATTCAAAAATGCAGTCATCATCGATGGCTTTATTACTATCTCCATCACATGTTTCTCCGTGGATGTCTGTTCAGTGAGCATTAGGGTATCTGCTGCTTTCAGCAACACCACTTAACCGTGCTTCCCATTGTGCAGCACAGTGCTTCCGGGGAGAGGTGAAATTTTCCCCCAGAAAAGGCAAGGTGAGGCAAGGTGCCCCAGTCTACAGAGAAAACAGCACTTGCGATTTTCACACATCCAACCATCTTCTATGCATAAAACCTAAGAGACACTGTTGCAGTTATGTAAGCGGGAATCACCAGAGGTGACCAAAGCGCTGTGCAAATTGCGTTGTATCTTCTGATCATAAACTACTTCTTTGATCCAGTCATCTGCCCAGAGCAGGTGAACTTACATATATGCACGGTTACCACACAGGCAATAGGCTTTCATCGACCACAAGAGGTGCATTTATCAGCCCAGAGAAATAAGGCCTTGCCTTGTGAGCGTACTGACAGGGGTGGAACAAAAAGGAAGCTCAGTGCAAAAAGTGAGAGGTGAATGGGCCACAAACAATAGGACACTGAAAAACAGTCCCTTCTCTCCATTCCTCTCTTGCCTTGCTAGTGTGATATTTTGGAAATAAACTCAGACATATACACAAGTATGCACACACACATACGTATATATGTACAAGCCTACATCCACACAGATCACTTTTGCCACCCAAATATTAGAAAGCAGCCATCTTCCCCCCCCTACCCTTGTCATTTTTGCTTCCAGTCTGAATAGAAAGGTTTTTTTTGGTTGTAATAACCAGTCCTTTGCATGCAGTCGTCATTTAAATGCAATTTTCTCATCTGCACAGCAACCACAGACTTCACAGAAAGCATGCAGCCCTCCTGATAGTAAAATATGGCATTTTCCTATTCTTGCTAAAAGGAAATATATATTTACATTTAACTTCAAATGTATAAACGACTTAAATTCCACACTCTCGAAATATCATGGCCTAGTTTTCTTCTGACATCTTCAAATAACATTTGATAAATTAATAGCTTTTACTGTATTTTCCATATCTGAATTTTTCTGAACATGCGTGAGGGTGGAATAATCACAACAATCAGCCGTACAGCCTCCAGGAATACCCACAGCTTTTACATTTAAACTCTGTGGAAAATTGTCATATTTTCTGATGGCTACAAACAAGATGGAAATCTCAGCGTGTTCTAATAAATAGGATATGGATACCCACTGCAACAACCAAAAAACTGCATACATGGTGAGTACAGAGCCCAGAATAGCCCTGCAGAACAGTGGTTTTATGCAATGATTACATCCATGCTATGAAATTAAGTTTATTAAGGCTGATAGGCTGCATTGCCTAAGCAAAATTCCCACAGCAAAACAAGCAAAGAATAGCTTCAACAATAAATCGCCGAGATCCTACAAATGTAGGCAGATTTTGGTGAGGAACCCATTGCTTCCTTCAGCTGAAGCCACGCACTCCATGTTTAAGGAATTCCAGTGAACATCTAAGTGCACACAGACCAGCAGCAAGGGCTCTTTGCAAGATCTGTTACAAACTTCATTGCCAGCCTTTAATGTTTACAGTTACCTTCCTTAGATGTCTGAAAAGGCTTATAAACCAAACAAATCTTCCTTTTTTTTTTTTTTTTAAGCAAAGAAACACAGAGACCTCGCTGAGTTTACTCAGCGCAAGCAGCACTAGCTCCTAAATCTGTGAATCGTTATAAACCGATTTTAATGCAAATGTCAATAAGGAAATACACGAAATACACGGGCAATGAGCGATACCAGTCCCCTGCCTGCTTAATGGCTGGGAGCAAGAGGCCTGTTTTCTCTGTAATCTGTTGAAATACAGTGTTTACTCTCCCTGCACTTCTACCTTGTATGTAATCCTCCTTTCACTCGACATATTAAAAAAAAAACCAACAAAAAACCAAAACCAAAATGCAAGCATACAAGAAGTGTGGCGAATTCCCTCCTCCACCCCCAGAGCGGTAAAGCCACAGCGGATGAGCTGTAACTATGGCCTTGGGAATACAAGTTCCCCAGGCTCTTTACCACACAAACACCAATTCAAGTTGGAGCCCCATCCTCTCCTCAGTGAAGACGGTGACGAGGAGCCCTCAGCCCTCGCTTTCCCTCCCGTGTGCTCCCAGGGACGCTTGGGTGCAGGATGGAGCTCAGGAGGGTGTAAGTGGCAGCAGGATCATCGCACCAGCGTTCGGAGGAGGAATAAATCAAACATGGCTGCTTCCCCTCCATACATCTCCCGAGTTACACGCACTCCCGCTGCCGGGTGAGCCGGTCCTACCCGCGGCGAAGGGCACAGGGCATCTCCCCGATCCCACGGCCACGGGGGCGAGCCGGCCGCCTCCCATCTCTCGGGGGAAGGAGGTGAGGCTCTGGAGGAGGGCTTTTTGTATGTGTGTGTTTTTTTCCCCCTTCTCACCTCCCCCCCCTCCCCCCCCACCCGGCTTCTCCGTTCTTTTCTGCGCTGAGCACTGATTGCCCCCCCGGCCCGCGGCGCTTTATGCAGCACCGACCTCCCGCAGCGCCCACGGAGGAGGAGGAGGAGGAGGAGGAAGGCAGAACAGCATCGCTACTTTCCGCCACACAGCAGTCAGACTGCAGCCTGGGGGCGGCGGGGGCACCAACAAACGATACGTAAAAAACACAAGATCTCCACGCGGGGATAGCGGAGCTGCGGTCCGCCTGAGGAAGCGGAGTCGCGGCTGAGGGGCTCCAAAGGGGGGGGGGAGTAGCCGACCCCCAGCCCCACACCGCCACCGCACGGCGCCCGGCCTCTTAGCGCTGCCCGCAGCATCCATCCCCAGGGCGCCGCCGCTCCCGCCTCCCGCCCGGGGCCTGTGGGACCGTGTGCCCCGCCGCCGCTGCTGCCGCTGCTGCCGCTGCTGCTGCCGCCGCCGCCGCCGCCGCCGCCGCCACCGCCACCACCGCCACCACCGCCACCACCGCCGCCGCCGCCTCCTTCTCCTCCTCCTCTCCTCCCTTCCTCTGGGAGAGCAGCCCGCTCGCCGCGCTCCCGGCCCCACCGACCTGTGGCCTAGCGCATCCTCGTCCCCCGGGAGCCGGGCGGAAGCGGCGGCGGTAGCTCGGGGCCGGGGAACCGGCGGGAGCCGAAGCGACTCGGTAACGGCAACGGCGGCGGTAACGGCGGCTCCGGCGATCCTGCGCGGCGGCCCCGCCCCCTCCTCCGGCCAGAACCAGCGCGAAAAATCCGGCGCGCTGATTGGCCGCCGCCGCTGCGCTGCCCCCGGAGCGGCTGTTTCAAATCCCCCCGCACGGAGCCGCCCGCACGCGCGGCCCGGAGCGGCGCCCGCCGTGAGCGCGGGGCGGCGGCAGCGGCGGGGACCGCGCTGGCGGCGGCGAGGAAGAGGAGGGCGGGCCGGGTGCCAGGGGAGGGAAGGCCGTGCGGCGAGGTGGGGCCGAAGGCGGGAGCTGCGTGGGGCCCGGCCCAGGTGGGCTAGAGCGCGTCGAGGGCCCTGAGCGGCGCGGCTTTCCTCCCCCTCGGACTCGGAGGCTCTCCCCGCACCGCTGTGGTAAGCGCTCACGGCGTGCTGTGTGCTGAATGTGCCTTCCTCGGGTACGCTGTGTGGTAAATGTGCCTTACTCAGCAGCCCTACACGTGTATTCCCTTATAAAAGAAAAAAAAAAAAAAAGAAAGCCCGAGCTGATGTGATTCACAATGCGACGTGAATGCTCTGACTTCCATGCGGTTCTAAAGGCTTCAGGTTGTATAGGAAGCTAGGTGTGCCTGGCTGCGGGTTGCCTGGGCTGCTTGTGTGGCCTGGTTTATTTTTCTCTAGTTTACATCAACCAAAGCACGTGTGCTTGCAATTTGCCAGCTGAGTGCCTGGTTCCTTTTCCAGGTTGAATCGGCAATATCTGTCGTGCTCTGACAGGAACAAGCATCAAGGGGGTGGCCGGCTGCCACAGGGCTCTGATGCTTGCTGCGTGCTCAGGATGCCGTCCTGTGCTGATGAAGACCCTGCTTATGGGAAAGGTCAACGGCAGGTGATGGAGGAATAGCACTGTCCTCCCGAGGGTGAGTGCTTATGCCCCAGAGAGGTTTCCAGTGCTGGCAGATGTGGGGGGTTGTATGCCTGTGCCTAATGGTGGGTGCACCCTCCTTACACTGGCAGTTAACAACCAGTTTGTGCTTACTGCTAATTACTTAGTAATGAGAGTGCTAATCGTGGGCTGATTAAAGCTGTAATCAGCTGAAGGAGACCTATCTGTCGTGATAAAGGTATCTTAACTTGTTTACAGCCTGGCTATTAAAAAAAAAAAAAGCAACAAACATCTTCAAGGTGTTAGGCTTGTGGGACTTATCTTCTGGATGTTAGTTGTACAGTATTAAAGAAAAGGAGATGTGCCAGGGGAACAGGTTGGGTATTAGGAACAATTTCTTCTCAGAAAGAGAGGTCAAGAATTGGAACAGGCTGCCCAGGTGGTGGTGGACTCACTGTCCAGGGAGGTGCTCAAGAAAAGAGTAGAGATGGGCGATACTGAGGGACATGGGCAATGGGCGCAGTCTGAGGGTTGGACTAGCTGATCTCTCTGGTCTTTTCCAACCTTAATGGTTCTATGATTTTGAAACAGCTAATTTGGGTTAAACATCATTGGCAAGTTTCCCGTTTCTTCAAGTTCAGTTACATTTGCAGGAGAAAAAAGATGCTTCCACCTCTAGTAAGAAAGCAAGTATTGGTACACATTAATAGATGTACACGTGTGTGGATCCTATTTTGCTGCAGAATGGCATGTATAGAAGTGCTTTTCTTCTGTAGTTGATCAGTAATGTGAAAAATGCTGAAAGCCAGATGTGTGGTACATGCTTGAGAGTTGCTGTTTTCTGCTGAAAAAGCTTGTAAGAAATGAGGTTAGTTATCAATAACTGATATGCTACAAATGCATTCTCTGCTCTCTTGGCAACAAGTTCTGTGCTCAGGCTTAGTAATATAAATCCTTCTATTTGCAATTTTTGAAAAGAGAACAGATTTTTTGTTCTGTACTTATTACTAATCTATAAGATCCTCCAGATAACACAGTTCACGTGTTTGCCTTCTCTCTGTTGTTGCAGATTTAAGTGGAGGGATTTTGCTACCATGGTCAAGGTGACATGAAATCTTTTTTGCACCTTTCAATTCATACAGATTATTGGCCTTGTCTGCACTATTAAGATTTGCAACCATGTAATGGCTTCTTTAATTGGAATGGCACTGACTCCTACTGTATGTAGACATCAGTGCGAATTTGAAAGTTAAGGCACATTTAGAGATAAACCTACATATGTAGTTTTTTATTTCAAACCCAAAAACAATCCTTGTTGTCAATTTTTGTCAATTTTCTTGAACTCAGGCCATGATACTGAAGTCTGTTGTTTTTTTTTTTTAGCAGTACACAATGATGTTGATTTTCTGAAAGTAGGTATTTGTTATTCCTATGTTTATGAAAACTGAGTTTAAATTCTGCTATGCAGGTGTAAATGACTACATGCACAGTGCAGAATGAGGTTATGCTGACAAATACGAGCACCTTGTTTTTGAGTGATGGCCTTGAAATAGCTGAAGTAAATGTCCCCTAATCTGCTGCTGGTTGCAAGTTTCCAGACTGAACCTCTAGGGGGGTTTTTACCTTTTCATTAGCTGTTCTTGTAATTCTGAATTAGCTGGTATTTTTCATCAGTTTGATGTTTCTCAGACAGCAGAACAGGTCACTGAAGCCAAATGATGTATATTCAGAGCAGATCATAGTACTCATTTATTGAGTCCTGTTTCATTTGGTATCGAAAATCTTATTGCTCTTTAGGTTCAACTTTTGTTAACAACCAGTATCAAGATCAATATCTCTGTTCAACTCAGTAAATGAATTTAAATAAATGTAGCAGTTGCATATCGTTCTAGAAACATTTATGTTTTAGAGATTACTAATTAGTTTCTAGGCTGAAGGATAATTTGCAATTTAAACACTTTCCCAAGAACATTTCCAGTATTTATTCAGCAATAACAGTAGTCAGTGCCCTTGGCCTTAGGCATGCATTAGGGTACTCTGAGGTTCTAAAGCAAAGGAAGATAATTATTTTTGTTGCCACCACAGGGACAGGCTGTGCCTGAAAGGCTAAGGCCTGTACTGCATTTGGTGTAGTTTCACTGCATTACACAGAGCTCTGAAACAAATTGAATGTGCATGGCACTATTCCACGCAACAGTGCAAAAATCTCTCCCCTGAGAGTCTGGTCAGCCCTGCTAACAAGGGGATGGGGCACATTTTGGGGCATCTTTCACTATTAGAAATAATGGAGTTTTGCATTCTCTGTACTAAAGCTTTGCATCTCTCATGCCAAAGGCCGAACAGAACAAAGGTGCTGTCAGCAAGCACATTTAATCTAATTGTAGATCTTTGTGGTAAAAGCTTCAAGTTTATATTTATCTTCTGTACAGATCCTAGCCACTGATTGCTCCGAATCCCTTTTTATTTTTGTTTCAGATACGGGAGTGCAGTTGACAAATTAATCAGACCTATAAAACAGCACAGGCTATCCACAGTTTTTACTGTCCTGCAGGTGTTTAATGAGATAAGAGTTGTACTAGACTGTTTAGAACCCACAAATGGATATATCTTTTGTTTTGCAGCTTTGCATCACTTTTTCACCTTTTAAGGTTAAACACTGAATATGCTTGTAGTTCTAATAAAAACGTGAATACACTGGGAGAGTTAATGCTGCCTGTTCTATTCTGTGGTAGCATTGATGCAGAGATATCTTCCCAGTGTCATCCTTCATCACTGTTACTGCTCTTTCATACCGTCAGTTGGTAACCCATCACCTGAGCTCTGGCTTCAGCTAGCAATCCATGATTTTTCTTAGGATTAACATTGAGTAATGGTTATTTCCAACCTGCCTGAACCCTGTCTGAATGTATCCTTAGCTGCGTTACGTGTAGGCAGAGCCACTGATCTGTCAATATGTCAGTCTACGTGTCACCAAGACTGCTAAGAAAAATCTTCATAAGCACGTGTGCATTTGTCTTCAGCCATGCAACATACTGTGTTCTGCTGAATATGAAGAGAGCAAGCTGCTGATGTAAAATTAAGAAAGAATAACTTAAAGCAGTGTTTCCAAATAGCTGGCATCAACTGTAGCACACTAATACTGAAATTGTAGTTCTAAGTGAATCTTCGAGAGCCTACATTTGGTGATCAATTTGAATGAAAGTTCAGTGGGAATGGTAATCTGAAAATTGTGTATTACAATTCCTGAAGTGTTAAATAATTTTAAAATGAGAAGGAATGGGGATTTCAGACTTCTTTGCACATTTTTTTTTTTACAGTCTCATAAAAATGGAGCAGTAGTATTTTTTAATTGCATGTTGATTCTTCAGGAAGAAGAAAATAATCTGCTTAGAGAATTTCTAACATAATTAGTCTATCCTAATGAGAGACGTTTGAAGTGCAACTGTACCTTGTAGTTTGAATACTGTTCTGAGTAAGAAATTAAAACCTCAGTGAAAACAGACAGCTAAATGTGAATCTTCATACTATGAGTTATGCACCAGTCTGTTCAGCAGACTCATTTTTCAGTGGGGAAAATAATGGGAGTAAATGTCACTACTCGCAAATAAGCTATTTCTGTTTGCATCATTTGTGCTGAGCAGAAGGAAGGAAAGTGTCACTGAGGGAGCAAAAAGAAGAGTAATGTTGAAGACATGACAGAGTGGGATACATCTTCAGGGGAAAGCAGAGGCCAGGAGAAAGAAGGGCTGAGGATCACATCCCTGCTGTTGTCCAGTGTTGGGATGATAAAAAACAGCTGTATACCAATTTTAAGTAGCTAACGTACTCCAGCCTGGTATAAGCAAGTTCAGTGCACTGATAAGTTATCTGTATGAGTTATATGTCTCTAATTACCTTCAACATCAATATGACTTAATTTAAACATTCCTGACATTTAGAATAAAATAAAGCTATGTGGAAATACACAGCTTGATTCAAAATGTTAACTCTGCTCTCTGTCTGCATAGTATGCCCCTGTGTTTATAAACATAATCTCTTTTAGAAATATACTGAAATTCATTAAAAATCAGAATGAATGTTTATCTTTAGAGTAGAATTACCATTGGTATAATTTTCTAGAACTAAAGCTCAACTCTAACTCTTACCTTTTGAGGTTTTACT